AAAAAAAAAAAAAAAGATAAAATTTGTCTCTGGATTCAAAGCCAAGATGCAGAATCGAGGAGAGTGGATTGGAGAGGGAAACAGAAGGTTCAGAGGAGCTCTGGTTCCTCGCAGAGTKGTGGRACTCTGTGGGGCACCAGCARAGCTCCCACTGGGGCTSKAGGGGAATCCCACAGAGCTGCTCCYGGTGGGACATCCCTAAAGGACTGGCGTGATTGATTTCTCCATCACCAGCCAAAAACAAGACCAGTAATTTCCCTGCTTTCAAGTGTGGTAAGACARGGAAGAGACAAATGAAAAATTAATCCATGAAGTACCAACTGCTTGAGGGTTCCTCTCCTCTCATTGAACAAGTGCTGTAATGGGTGAATTAGCCATGCCAAATGTACTCTCCACACAAATTGCATGATTATGCCTTTTTCAGAGCTGTTATCCTCTGGCACTCGTCAGCAAGGTGGCTGGAGACACCAGGGCAGGAGGAATGGCAGAAACTCCTCCCTGGCAAGCTCAAATCCTGAAAATAATGCTGTGTCCAGTAGCCAAAAACCAACTTGCACACGGAATTAAAACAAAAAAAAAAAAAAAAAAAAAAAAAAGATAGAAAACACTATGTTCTTCTCAAACTGTGCAAAATGCCTTTCTCGGTATTACAGAATCATGCTGGCAATCTCAGGGGAAAGATCCTTCAATTTATTTCAGCTCTCTTGGTTTTATTCTTCTGGAAATACCATGTGAAAAAGGTAAGTGTGAAACACACTGGTATTGTTGTAGGGACTATTTTTCTGAACCAAACACAGATAAAAATATGGAAGGGAAGAAATTTGGTTTGGGAGAGAAATTTTGGCCTGCAAATGCAAAGTAATTCCGTAACATAAGAGGTACATATGTAAGACATTTTAATACTTTTAAATACATGAACTTTATATACTTTTATATCAAAGTATTTATATAATAAATGGGGAGACCTTATAGCAACTTTCCAGGACATAAAAGGGGCTTACAGGAAGGCTTGAATGGGACTTTTCAGAAGGGTATGGAATGATAGGAAAAGGGGGAATAGCATTAAGCTGAAGGATGGCAGAAACAGATGGGATATTGGGAAGGAATTGTTCCCTGAGAGGGTGGGCAGGCCCTGGCACAGGGTGCCCAGAGAAGCTTTGGCTGCCCCTGGATCTCTGGCAGTGCCCAAGGCCAGGCTGGACGGGGCTGGGAGCAGCCTGGGACAGTGGAAGGTGTCCCTGACCATGGCAGGGGTGGAATGGGATGAGCTTTAAGGTCCCTTCCCAACCYAAATCCTTCTCTGACTCTGTGATCCCTATTAATGGCAGCAAGGATCAGAAACAAAGAACCAGGCACATGGACTTCTTCTTCACTGCACCCCCAAACATCACCTATTACTTTCCAACTCCCCATGATTTATTTATTGGGGTGGGCAGGCTGAAGAAAGTGGCAGGAGCAGCTCTGCAAACCACCAGGATTTGAGGAGGAGCTGATGTGGCAGGGATGAAGAGCCACTGACCTGTGCTGCGTCCATCTCGTTGAGCATCACCACCGAGGAGCAGTTGTAGTCGAACACCAGCCTCCAGAAATCYGCCACCGTGTTGGGCAGAGGGTGCTGGGTGACAATGAAGGCAGCAGGTTGCTTGTGGCTCTAACAAAAGAGAGAGATTAGTTAAAAAAAAATTAAAAAAAAAAATTCAATCAACTTTTATTCAAAGGAATATTATAGCCGGGAGGCTGTGGGGAGGCAATCGGAGCCATTTAACCAGATTATACAAATCACATCTCCTGCTCCTTGTTATCGCTCCGCAATGAATGAACGCCTCGTAATGGGATTCTTTTGCTCCCAATGAAGACATTTCATTAAAGAAGTGTCACAAGAGCAGAGATTACCCAAATCAATTATTTATATTTTGAGACTCAGCAAATAATGCTAATTCTACTATTACTACTACTGCTACTACTATCACTAATATTAATAATTGGAAGGAAAACAGCTGGAAGCAAATGCTCTCCTTTATGCTGCAAAGGCCTTGAGGAACTCCAGAAGGGATTATTCCCATCTGCTATGGCTGCCTGGGGGTKCAGTGTGGCAGAGGTGGCACATTTGGAGCCCAGCCATCCTTTATGAGTTTGTGGGGCACMATTCAGAACCTGTGACCGCGGCATTTAATTTCTGATATTATTCTTTCACCTCAAAAAAGCCCCCCTGACCTCCGTTTCCCTAAGCACGAAGGGGTGGAGCTCCCAACCTCTGTGGAGCTCAGTTAATGAACGATTATGAGGCTCTCAGAGATGAAAAGGAACAAGCTGAAAACTTTATCATTTTCCAACCATGGCAAGCAAGGCTTAAATGAGCYTGGAAACTGCACAGTCCTTTGTGCTGTACATCTGTGAAGCAGGCTTGAATCAAAAGGCACGCTAATTCTGGGGTAAAAAAAAGAAAAAAAATCACAAAAAAAGCCTCCAAGAGAAGAAAATTTTGGGTTTAAAGCAAAGAAATAAGTAAAACCCTGAAGTATTAAGCTGCCCATTGTGGGGGTTTGCCTTTCCTCCTCCGTGTGAGTCAGATGTGGGTAGAAGTGCTGGGCAGACCATGCTGGGAGGGGGAGAAGATGCTTCTGAGTGTGCACATGTGAGGAGGGTGATGGGCCACAACGTAGAGAGAAGAAAAAGGAAACAATTTGTTGAGAAATTAAAGTCTGGAATGGACTTCTTTCCCCGTATTATGCCTTTCACATCTAGAAACACCAGTATGGGTCAAAAGCTGTGAAGTACCAGCCCAATGATGGCACCAGAGTGGCAAATAAAGAGTGAGTCTTATCTCTTAATTGAACATCATCCTGCTCCTGCTATGATTATTTCATTGTGTGCCAGCAGCAGACTGCAAACCTGGCTGAACTCGGGGCTAAGGTCACATGAGCTTGTGGGGTTTGCCATTAGGACACGAAAGAAACCTTCCCCAGGTGAGGAACCAGGTTCACTGTCCTGTTTTAATGGGAAAGTGACACGGAAACGTGAATTATGAATTCACATTGTAAGGGAACGTGTGTGGGATTGTGGGGGAGTGATGATGTCAGGGAAACATAAACTTACATTTTCTCCAAACCCCATGGATTAAACACAAATCYATCATCACTTCTGCATTGCTTGGCTCATGATGTGACTAAAGCCTCATTTTTTAAGGATTTTGTTCCATTGTTTCAGGGAAAAGTGAGGGACAGTACTGCTCCTTTCAAGGTAATATGGGGTGGACGGTATCCTCTATAAGTCCATGCTCAGCATAAGACTTCAGACATGAAGCTACAGGGGAAAAAAATAATTTTCAAGTCTGTCCTCAACAGGAACAGCTATGAAAATGCAGGATTTTGGCTGTTCCCCTGTGATTTTTTTTTGTCCCCAAAAGTTCCTGATTCTTTTATAGAAAGATTAAGGCRAGCCAGAGAATATCGTAGCAGCTGAATTTCAATGACAGGTGAAAAATTGCTTTGTACTAAAAAAATTAATTCACTGGAATTTTGTGGGGAAGGATACAAATATTAGCAAAGGGATTTGAGGTAATGAGGGCTGAAATGTACAAACATTCCCAATCCCTAAGAAACCACAGAAGACTAGACTGTGCTTCTGCAGATGTGCAAAGGCACTGAACACACTTTGAAAAACAAGTTTCCTTAGGCATGTTTGCATTGAAAACATCGCAATCTTACTGAAAAATATCTAAAATAAATCCTGTGACCATTTRACTGAATATCTTAAATGCAGCAGTGTCACTATTTCCCAAAGAGTGAAGAACGGACAAAATTAAAAATCACTGCCACTGCCACGGGGAAAATGATGGCATTTCACCCTGGATCATRTTTACACAAGCTCCAACTGCAATAATTAGTGGCATTAAAGACATCTGTGTCCAAAGGCACCGCAGCAAAAAGAAGCCATCAACATAATTCACCCTCCACAGCTGACCCGTGCTGTGAGATCCCAGGCTATAAACAAAACAAGGGAAAACGCCTTTGGACAGAGTCACATCAGCTCAACTCACGTCCTTCAGCCTGAAAATATTTTGCACATCTGATCCCTGCACTCCCACATTCTTAACTGCACAAGATCAAATCAATCCCTCACTCCACACTGCAAATTATCCTTTTCAAAGAGCTGACCTGGCAAATATTTATCTTCCCAATGGATACAAGACCCAACATAYGGGAAGAGCTGTCCCACCACTGCTTTGTGCATCTGCCTTCCTGTGATACAGCCTCAGATTGCACACTGAGGGATGTCTTTACCAAAAATTTCCTACCAGTGTGGAGAACCATGGTGTGTGATCACAGAATCACACAATAGAATAGAATAAGCTGGGTTGGAAGGKATCCTCAAGAATCATTGAGTGCAACTCCTGGCTCTGCACAGCACCRTCCCCAAGAGTTCCCAAAAGCRTTGTCCAAAAGCTTGAACTCTGTCAGGCTGCTKCTGTGAYCACTTCCCTGTGATAATAACAATCTAGAGAACATATTTTGGTGATGAAGAGGAAATTCATGTGCTTTGCCTGGTTTGGAGATATTGATGCCTTAGGATTTTTAGTTTCTATATTTTCATGCATCTGTATTCTTGTACTTCTCTAGTACAGTGCTAAAGTTCCTGCTTTCCCATCTTTAGACCAAACAATTCCTCTCTGAGCCTGAATCCAAGGACACCTCGCTGCCTCAGAGCCCCAAAATATGGAAACAACAGAGAATTGGGGGGAGCAAGATTGGGGTGGTTGACATCATCATCTGAAGGTGTCATTGGGGAATTGAGGCCCAATATATGAATAAGACAGAACTTACAAAAGGAGAGGTTCCTGTGACTTAGGGTCCATTTTGGGTGTAGCCTCAGGAGGAGACTTTGTCTGCCCTTAATGCACCAGTAGGCATGGGTTAAATTTGTCTGCTTTTATTCTCTTAACTTTCTCTGGCTTCTGTTTCAGGTGAGCTTTGTTTTAGGCACCAATATCAGACCAGCATTTACAGCTAAATAACTTCTCCTCTTTAAATCCATTCTCCCAGAAAATCACCCCGAGAAGGAACAAAGCRGGTGGGGGCAGAGCAGTGCTTACATCCATGAGGGCAGCGTTGATGTAGTTGCTGGATTCGCCATCCACAGAGATGAGGAAGGGCAGGCARCGGTCCAGGGGCAGCACGTCCATGCAGCGGTTCTTGTCGTGGTTGCGTGGCAGGAGCCCGATGCTGCAATCCTCCGGCCGCACCCGCGGTGTCACGATGTTCAGGGTCTGGCCAGGGCAACAAGGACACAAACAAGCCTTTCAGTTTGCTTCCATGTGCACAATGTGTTTGCTTTAAAGGGACTCGGAGTGGAGCTTTGGCAYCCCAGAGGTAAAAGGAAGGAGYGYTAAGGMRCTGGTTGCTGTTATAACACRTTGCATTTTGGAGATTGYCCTGAGGAACTCCTCCAAAAATTGWGGRCACTCTAYAYCTCCCAACCATTTCCAGCTCTAAACCCCCAGAGCAACCAGACAACATTTCTGTTCTTTCCTAGAAGTTGGAATCAAGTGTCACAGGTGTAAAATGCAGCCTTGAGCTGGTGATGGAGTGAAACCTCCTGCTGTTTCTACCATCTGTACGGTGGAACACAAATCCTTCCCCCTCTACAATGGGTCCTGTGCAGGTGTGCCCTGAGTATTGACCAAGCAGCAGGTCAAACTGCGTTCAGAGCCTCTGGCGATTCCTCAGACTACTGATTTGGCTTGTAAAAACATAGGATAAAATGTTGTTTTGAGGTTTTTTAAACAGAAAAGTCTATTTGTTTCATACATTATTTAGATTGCTATATCTTTTTGAAGTGACATGCAGGATGCTTCGCTTACACAGTCATACCCAATCTCTGGGGCYTTGCTGTCAGTCTTTGGCTGTTATCTGCCTTTGCCACAGCTTGACAAACTATGTTTSCTTAAATCTATTTTTCTTTTGTGCTCCCCTTTGCAGAGGCCTCCTGACAAACCAGTCCAGGTTGGTCAGCAAGGATCAAAACTGGGAAATCAAAGTGAATGCATCTTAACACCAGTGCTTAAGTGGTGGTAGATCAGTGGCTGTCTGATGTCATTGTGTTTTCACTTTCACATCTCCCCTTCCTGAGCAAAGCCTGTGGAGTCCTACAGTGAACTCTCTGCAGCTAGAAGAATACAAAATATTTAGGGGCCGAAAAAAGTCTCACAAAGAACTGGACTTCTGCCACAGAGAGGTTATGAATGAAGAAAAGAGGAAGGTCAAACAATCCAARGTAAAGAAAAGTGTCAAAGCATAAMGCTTGAAATAATACAGTTGCTCTAAATTATTTGGGTTCTACTTTGTCTGGAGATGGAAAGAAAGAGTCTGGCTGGGGAAACAACACAAAATCTCAGGTCCCTGACAGGGCAGATAATCACTGGCAAGTCATCTGCCTGATTAACTCCTAACTCTTATGTCATTCCCCTCTCTCCCTTGTTCCTGTACTGATTCAGATTGCAAAACATTCTCCAGAGTGAGCTTTTGTGAGTCCAGACAACATGTACTGCATGAGAAAGACATCCAGCCTTACCTCAGGGCCAGCAGRACCTAAACAACACAAACTGCAACCACAGATCTATAGTTAGATCAACTGCTTCCTAAAGATTGCAGCAAAGATACCAGCTTTTGCATGAAATCCTGACAATTAGGGCTGAGCAACGCTCGGAGCCAAAATCCCATAAAAATAGATTCTGCAACGAGACAGACATCGAACTTCTTATGCAAAGCACAGCGGAGCAGCTCCTTCCCACAGGAGCTGCCAGCCCCTGGCAGCTCAAAAGAACAAGCACAGAGGCGACAAATCCCATCTCATATCATGACAAAATACACCCAGCAAGCGATGGCTTTTTTTTTTTTTTTAATCGTGTGGTTTTTTCAAACTGCATTTGATGAAGTTCAGCTCTGGCTCCTTCACGCCAAGCTCTCAGAACCAGAAACACTTCTGCAGATCTGCTATCACTCGATAGAACCTGATCTTTTTKTAATTGAACTGTCATCAGTTGGGATCCACATCCTTTATCTCACTATACCAACCCTGATGATTCCCTGGAAGGCTTCAGATAAAAGGCACACATCCTCCCTTTGCACAGAGAGGGAGGAAAAGAGGCCTCTGACTCAGGCTGGGGCTCCCAAAAGACATTCTCCTACTGCAAAAGACATTTTCCTGGGAGAAGAGGTGGGAATTTACTACAATTAAAGCAATTTCCATGTTTTTACTCTGATTGTGAGTGGCCTCAACAAATAGTAGAGGTCTCTTTCCTTCCCATCAAACTCACTTTGCCCTAAATTTCCCACAATCTGCATAAATTACGGAAGAAAATGAACAACAGAGTATTTGTTAAAATAAGAAACCCAGCATGGTGCGTGAAAATTAGTGTCCTTGACCCTCTGGAGTGATGGGGACATCTTTTTCCTTGCTGAAAGCTGAGAAGTCCATGCTCAAAACCCAACCCCTSACTGGCCCAGTAGTACTACAACAAAAATCAACTGAAATCAAACCTTGGCTCAGTGTCCCCCTTATCTGCCCTGCTGGAAATCACAAAGCAACACACAGAAATTGATTAAACACCCTCAAAACACCAAGTGCAGTGGCTGAGACATGTGAAATTACCTGAAACTCATCTTTTATCTGGCTGGAATTGGTCTGTGGATCCAGTCTGCTGATRTTGTAGTATATGGATCTGAACTCACAAACTGGAATGGCCGTGTTGCCACAGAGGCACGCCTCCAAAATGGCATCGTGGACAAACACATACTGCTCCTGCACCAGGGAGGGGAGGAGATATTAAAATCRTATTTTGCATACACATCATGAAATATCACTCTTCTTTTTTCCTTAAGTCATGCCCAATATGCATATTTGGCTCTGTTTTCGCATGGAGACAAATTACACCGTGTGCTGCGTGACAGCTTTGTGAGCGTATTTCATCCATCATTGAGTGTGAGCTCTCACGGATTCATTGCAGATTTACAAGAAAAATGGGAAAGTCAGCACTCTCAGGGATGTTGGGACAAAATGGGGATGGGCTGGGGAGGAAATCAGGTTGTGAAGTCTTTCTGTCCACAACTGGGAGAAAGATGTCAGGGAGGGACCTCCAATAACACCAGAGAATCATGGAATTGTTCAGCTTGGAAAAGACCTCTAAAATAATTGTGTCCAGCCCACACTGACAAATTCACCACTGAACATGTCCCCAAGTGCCACATCTCCATGTCTGTGAAATCCTYCCAGGGTTGGKGASTCCMCCACTGTCCTGGACAGCCTGTGCCAGGGTTGGACAACCTGKCAGTGAAGAATGTTTCCCTAATATYCAATCTTAACCTCCCCTGGYACAACTGTACAGAAACAGCTGTCAGGTCACCTCTTCAGAACGCCRAGCTTGGGGTATTTTGGGTAAAGCTTTTCCCCTGAATTAAGTATAGAAACTCCAACAAAGTGAACAGCTCTTTTCTGTTCCAGGCTATTGTCCTGTCCCTCAGGAGGGGAAGGGGTTAAGGGACACACAATAAAACCTGTGCAAGAGGATAACAGTTCCACAGCAGTCAGTGCAGCTGCTGTGATGGAGCAGATTGCTTCATCAGCACCCAGAGCTGGAATCAAGGAGGTTTTGTTTGCTTAGCTTGTAATTGATATACACTAGGTACTACTGGAGCCTGCAGCATCCCCATGAATGAGTCATGAGAGGCTTTCAGGAGCTCTTTTTTTCCCACCATGAGAATAAAATTAATCAGCGATGCACAGAGCCAAACTCCAAGGTTTGCCCTCCTGTCTCAGAGGCCRCGAGCAGCTGCCGGCGAATTGATTCGGTGCAAACCCGGGCATGTTTGGCCAAGGAAAGCTCTGCATAATCAAGGCACAGAGCGAGCCGGTGTYGACTGAATGAATTTCTGGGCAGAGGAGCTGACAGGACAGCAGCACCTCGAGCAGGGAAGCTGCTGGCACCCACCTCTGTCTGCACCAGGTTGACCCTCTGGGAGCGCAGCTCTCGCACGCAGTTGAAGATGTCCACCACGCCTTCGTTCTCAGCCATGTCGAGCATGATGTCAATGGCGATGAAGCACCCTGTCCTGCCAGCCCCAGCGCTGGAAAAGGGAAATACAGGAGGGTTTGAGTGACCAAGGGAGCGTGGAGAGGCAGGGCTCTGCGGGGGAGAGAATGACAGCAGCACACACTGCGCTGTCTCCTCATGGGAGCTGCTCCTGCTCCCTGCTGAATTCATTTTCCTCTGGAAGGATTTAAGAGAATGAAGGGAAAGAATATTTTTTAAAAGAGAAGCAGAAAGGAAACCTTTGTGTTATTGAACATCAACAAAAAGTTGCAAAAATGCTCGCTGTGATTTTACAGGTCGTTTCACCCGTACACCTCTCAATCACTCAGGGTGTATTGGAGCAGCCCTCAGCTTGCAGACAGACACAATTCCASAAATTTTCTTTCCTGGGACTCTTCAGAAAGCATGCACACCTTTACTCCAGTGGGCATGATGAAAGGAGCTCAGYCCTCAACCTCAAACACTTCTTTTCKCTTTTTAATCCAGAGGGGTTTGGRYCCTGAGGAGGRTGATTTGAAGTTATGGATCATAAATTACAGAGGAAAGAGCTCGAGGCTGCTCAAATCCTTCAGTTCAGAGCTCCCCACTGCCTGTGAGAATTGGGCCATCTGCTGCAAAACTGTGTTGTCATCGTGCCCTCCTTCCCCTCTGGGAAATCACCCAAACTGCCCAGGTGTGAAGGATGGAGAGAGGAGAATRTCTCTTCACATTTCTCTGAAGGAAAACTCTGCTCACACCAGGGAACTTCATCTGCACTGAAAACTCCACCAGAGCCGAAAGCAAGGAGATATGAATGACCACAAATTAATGGACCAGATTAATCAACTGCTGAATAGAGAGAAGATATTTTTCATTTGYAGAATTTTAATGAATAAGTGGCATTTCCTCTCCCTTTATCTCCCAGCTTTTCAGAATTATAACAAATAGTTAGAACAGTTCTATATTTAGAGGATCCTGGCACTTCATAAATATCGAACAGTGATATTATCCAGCCAGGCATCAGTGGAGAGAATTTGGTAATTACCACTTAAAGCAAGGCATTAAAATTCAAAAGCAGATAAATAACATGGAGGAAATGGCATTTATTCATTAAAATGGGAAGGATGAAAAATCTCTCCTTGCAGTCTCGGTGACAATGAGTCAGGTTCAGGCACCTTCCAGGGCGAGACCCGTGTCATGGCACCAAAGGAGCAAACTCAGGCCCTGAGTTTCATTCTAAATGAATTCCCTTCTGCCAGCTCTTTAGGCTTGTAAAACTGACTCACTGCTTGCTAAAAAAAAATATTCTAACAAAACAAAACACCCACCCAATCTAAAACTGCTTAAAAAAGATAAGTTTTAATTTATTTTCCTTTTAAAGTAGTTGTGGGATGCATTTTCTCTCTCAAGACACAGAGTGGGAATTAGAGGCAATTCCCTTTGGATTGGTTAGGGGTGAGATTTTGGGACAGCCAGCTCTGCTCTCTTGTGCTCTTCTTCGGTGGTTCACACATGCCCTGAGCAGACATAGATGCTGCTACAAACCYAAACTCTGGTTTTGTAACAATGCCTTTCCTTGCATTTGAAATAATTTAATTCCTTTTATTGCCTAGCTGGAAGTCACTGGGCAATTTTTTTTTTTGCCTGAGATTCCCATTCCAGTTCTGGGGCTTTCAGGAATCCAGGGTGCCCAAGGGCTGACAGGCAGACAAATTTTTCAGCTCATGAAATCACAGAATGGTCAGTGTTGGAAGGAACCTTAAAGATGATGGAGTTCCAACTCCCCTGCTGTGGAGAGGAGCTGTCTTATCTTCCCCAAGCCCAGCTGGGACCTTTAATGCAGATCTGCAGCACAAGTGGGTACAGAAAAGCCAAGTTGCTTTAAAACCCCCTGTCCTTTTGTGGCACTGTTCTGCCACATGAGGTGAGTTGGGCTGGAATGGCTGTCCCAGACATTCACCCCTTCCCCAACACTGCTCCGAGCATCCAACAGACACAATTCCAGAAATTTTCTTTCCTGGGACTCTTCAGAAGGCATGCACACCTTTACTCCAGTGGTTATTATGAAAGGAGCTCAGTCTTCCACCTTAAACATTTCTTTTCCCTTTTTAATCCAGAGGAGTTTGGGTCCTGAGGAGGGTGATTTCAAGTTATGGATTATAAATTATAAATTATGGAGGAAGGAGCTCAAGGCTGCTCAAACCCTTCAGTTTAGTGCTCCCCACTCCCTGACCCACTTCCCTCATCTCCAGCTCATGCCAGCTTGGCTCCACCACTCTGGGAAAGAAAATTATTAATCTTTCCCTTATTTCCTGTTGAGACCTACGAATGACGCTGCTAAATGGATGAAGTGCTGTCGATTATCACCAGGCAAGAAGAAAAGAGAGGGGAAAGCTGCTGGAGGAGGGGTCCAGGTACAGATCTGACCTACCTGCAGTGCACCACGATGGGTCCTGCCTCCGGGGGGTTGAGGAACTTCACCTGGCGGACAAAGCCCAGGAGCCCCGTGGCGTAGCAGGGCACGCCGTGGTCKGGCCAGCTGGTGAAGTGGAACTGCCGAATCTCCCGGATCTCATGGTAGCCTTTCTGAGGAGACAACACAGCCTCTATTTTTCTTCCATCAGACTGCAGTCAGCACACTCTGCTCCMTGCTGCCTTCCCTCTYGSAGAGGGGTGATGAGMAYGGAGCTCTCACTACACTGGAAACGTATCCAAAGCTGTTTTTTGCTTTAAAAAGGTTTGCAGACAATTCCAGTTCCCAGGGAAGTGGGTAACACTGAGCTGGGAACCAACTCCCAGTTGCACCCTGTGGTCTCAGAGCTCAAACCCAGCTCATCAGGGTGACATCATGTCTGTGTTTATCCACATTCTCTTGTGTTACAGCCATAAACCACAAAAAAATCACTCTTAAATCCTGATTGAGGCACTGAAGCAAAAGGCTGGGRAATGAACACCTGGAAAGTGGGCACACCAAGGGCAACAGCAGATTATCTGCCACCWCCTGCTGAAAATTCTCAGTTTGAGAGGCTGCTGCAAGTGAAAAGGGCAGGAAATGGTACCCAGAACTGCCTTTTCTGGTGAGACTGAGTCATTGGTGTGTGAAAATCACACCTTTATCTGCCCTGCAAAGGGTAACCTAGAACTGTKGGTCAGCTGAGATGTTTTATTGTAYAGGAAATGYRGGTGGRATCCAGMAGCAGCTCCTCTAACTGGTCAGATTTTTGCATTACTATTTTTCATAAAGTTTTTCAACTGTTTAATGAAATATGGAGCTGATATATGAGAAGACTGAAACGATTTTCCCAATGTGGCTGAAGAGCATTGAGCAGGAATTTTTGGAAAAGCTTTAAAACCACTTACTGAGTGTTTGGAATGTAATTTGGACAGACCTGGAATACTCTGACACTTCGACTTCCAATTTCTAATTACAAGTAACAAAACCTTCCAAATCCTGCTGGTTTGGGGATAGTTTTCCTACTCTTGCTTTTATTCTATTCTCATTTCTGTTGAAAGGGGACCCTGCTTGGCATCCACTGTAGCTGGTACCTTTTTTCCTCTGCCATTTACCACTGTGAAACAAGGCAGTTATTATTCCTGGCGTACCATCAGCTATCTGCTGCCTTTTGGATGCAGTCAAACTTTATGCACTGTGGATTCTACTTGTGTGGCTACATCAAGATGTTCCTGTAAAACCATTTGTCCAAAACCAGAATCCCTGTCAAAAAATTCCGTTTTCTGAAGTGAAGGCTGTCCAAACAGCACAGCTCCCATCTCCAGGAGTGTTCTGGGTGTGTTTGCCAGGGTTTCTGAACACAAATTGCAGCTGCCTGAAGAGCTGCTTACCTTTTGGACGGTGAATGTTCGTATGACATACTCTGCCAGTGGCTCTGTCTCGATTAATGTGACTTTAATGTCTCCATAGACTTCGGTGTCATCTGGCCAGTATCGAACACACTTCACCTGGGGGGAAAAGGAAAAAAAATATTGAGAGGAACTAGTTCAGGTTGAGTCAGAGCTGACCTACATTTCCCTCCACTTTCAAGCTGAAGCCAATGCAAATGGGGCTTCCTTCTGATGTGCAGAATTGCCAAAATTAACTGTATAAATTAGATCAAAATTCCTTTGCCATACACAGAAACCACAGCGAGGATTTTTTTTTTAAGTTCCCTTTGTTGTCCATACAATACAAAGAAAACATTTAGATCCCTTTATTTTTTTTAAGTCTTTGAATTTCCATACATGCCCTCCCTATATCAGATAKTCAGAATACCTGGCAGTCACTGCCACCATCCCCTTTTAAAAAAAAATCTGTGCTGCTGCTCCTGCAATTCTGAACTCCCTCTGTTTTAGCCAAAGAATTTCAGTTCACAGGGATTGTGGGATRCATGTTGAGACACTAAATTTGTTTGACTCTGAGCTTTCTTTATCAGATGTGGACACAAACTTGGCATTTTACCAGCTGTGACAGGCTTCAGCTAAGGCTCAAGAGAGAAATCTCCTGAGCAGGTAAACATATCCCAGCTTAGCCAGCTCTAGGAGCCATGTGCACAACTAACAGAAGAAATAAAAGCTGAGGCTGTGCAGCTCCAGAAGGGATCTTTAGGCTAAAAAAGACTATCAGGTTATTAAATGCTCTAGCATGAATGAGTGGAACAATACCTAAAGCTGAAGCAATTAGCTGCTGCAAAGCAGGCTTCATGTTCCAGTTCCAGTCATAATTGAAAGGGGTTTTATAAATATTAAATATGATTAATGTAGGTTTGGTGTGGGTTTTTGTTGTTTGTGATTTGTTTTTTTTCTTTTGCACAGAGGCATTTCTTTTAAACTGAAGTGTCAGTAGAAGGTAAAACAGAATAAATAGCAATAAATGAACAGAAGCAGCTGGCATTCAACCATGAGATCTGAGGGAAATCAAACACAAAGCAGCTGAATTACTAATGGCTCTGAGTAAACGATCATTTAAATTTTTCTTAGAACCAAAGCAATGGAAAGTGACAAACATCAGGACAACATTTTTTAAGAACTTCAGTTTCTGGTAAGCAAGTCTCTAAAASAAAGCCCATGTTGGAGAAAGCCACCCCAGACATTCTGTCTTCCTGTTCCCTGAGGTCCAGACTAAACTTTTTGTGTTTTCCATGTTTGGTCCCATGGTGGGTTTTGGGAATTTCCTTGTACTGACACAGGGATGTCCTGTCCATGCCAGCCCAAAAGAGGGAATTGCTGGGTGTTGAGGAGGCCAAYGCTGCTGGGTGGCCCCAGGATCCACAAAAATCACCAGGAATAGCAACCTCAGGAACTCCAGACTTTGGACTGTCACACAAAGAGGCCTTTGGATAATTTTAACACCATCAAACATCCTCTGGATTTTTGGAGGAGTATTCAAATCACCAGATAAAGAATAACTACTACAGAAGTACATTTTTCCTTCTGTACTGAGGAAGGAGACAGCTCCTGAGCTGGCATAAATTTGTGTAACTCTGCCAAAGCCCAGGCTTACAGCAGGAACACGATCCTTATTAGTCTGGAAGGGAAGCAGCTAAGTATGACAAAATCCAGCATTTTACAGCAAAACCCAGAGTGGCTGAATTCACTTCCTTACTGCAAAAAGCCAAAGGCATTTTGAGCAAAAGGCATTTTGCTGCTGAGCTCTGCTGAGCAGGATCTCGGTGTTAAACCTGGTTTTACACCCGGGAGTGGTGCCTTACCCTGCCCACTTCCACCAGGTTGGTGACCATGACAACACTCGCCGAGTTTTCTTGCCAAATCATTCTCCAGAAATCCTTCACCGTCTCTTGCATGGGCCCTGGGGCAGGAGAGAAGACAAAAGGACATCTCAAGGCAGTGCTTGGAATGCCAATAACTCCTCCCAGCTGTTCTCCAGCATTGTGCTGCTCCCACAGGATCCTGCTCTCCCTTTCAGAGCATCCCCCTGTAGTTCAGGGTTACAGATTTGAGCAGCCTGGAGCTCTCTGAGAGATCAGACCCTTCCTCACTGCAGGTGTTTGATGGTGGTGCTGTAACAGTGGGGATGGCTCCAGCAGGTGAGTGTTTGAGTGATGGGACACGGATGGATGAGAATGAAGCTGTAATTAAGGCTGTGCTGTAATTCACACCTGATGCAGCACTAACATTGCCCATTTCACGCTTTGATATCATTTAATCATGAAGGAGGAAGGAAACATGCAGAAATCAGTCCTTTTCTCGAGTTCCCCCAGAAAAATGCCAGGTTCCAACAGCCAAAGAGCAAGTGCTCACATGAGGTTTGTCAGCCCAGAGCTTCTCTCTCGACCTTATTTCTTTTCTTAAAGGAAACTCATCAAATATCTTACAAAAGGAGGTGTTCAAATGCATTTCCTACCAGTTCCCCTCAAAGGTTCATCAGTCACAGCTCATTCACACTGCCCAGCTCAAACAATTTCACTCCAGAAATTTCACCCCAGCATCCACAAAGTCCCTTTTTGTTCTGCTCTCTTATTTCATGCACAAAGGACACATTCCAGGCTGGACTGCCACCTCCAAGCCATTTTTTATTTCTGCAGCTGAGTTGGTGTTTCAATGCCTTAAATATCTTGGAAAATTCTATGTCCCTCCCTTTTTTTTTTGGCCCTATAATCAATATTCAGATATTCCCAATAAACAATAAAAAACCTAATAARCAGATGGTGCCACCCTACAAATATCTCCCACAACAGTTCAAAGTAGCAGCGGGTTTGCAGATATTTGGACATACAAGGATGAACTTGCCTTGAGTTGCAATGTAATGGCGAGGCCGATGGTAACCCTGGAAAAAAAAGAAAGAAAATAGATGAGTGTCTGTGGGATCACAGCTCAGACAAAGCCCACCATGGGTTTGATATTTTCCAAGTGCCAACTGCTGTCCTCTGACAGTGTTTAATTGRTTATGGAATGAATGAAGGGCAACTGGGCTGCCCTGAGAGGTTTAAATGAGGGTATCTCATCCAGGCTGAATAATACAAAGACAAAACAGGAAGGGGGCATTTTTAAACTATTTCCACAGAAACCACCAGCCCTGTGTTACTTGAGGGTAACTGAAAACAGGCAAAGCAGTGCATCTTCTTGTTTGGAAAGAAGAAAAGTATGAATTTGTGTGAAAATGCTAAGTGTGTTTTTTATCCTTTAAAGAAACTATTCTAAACATTTCCCACTCCTGTGACTTAGGAGCTCCTTCAAGAAATGCATGTTCTGWGATCACTCTGTGTGTGAGGCAGAGGCTGGCTTTCCAATGTTATTTTACAGCACTCCAAACAAGTCAGTCTGTTTACATGCCTTCTGCACCAAAACTTTGGGAGTGGTTGGCAAATCTCAGCTATCTCCTAATGCCATTGTGAGGGGCTGATATTGATTCCTGCCTCCATCACTTAGCCCACGTCCTCTTTATGTGGGTGGATCTGTCAAACACGGGAAACCTCCATCTGTCCGGGTTGGTCAAACAAAATAAACTGGAGACTGAGAACCTTCTCCCTGTCACAACACGCTGTTTGCACAGCGTTCAGCTGTCACTCATATCAGACCCACAGCCTGGCCCTGTGTCAGTGACACCACATTTTCATCAGCACACTTGTCACGGGCGGGTTTGTCACGGGGGGAATGGCCGGGAGCCTTACGTCGATGTAATTGGCGTTGATGTAGTCGGAGTGAGGGTCCCCATCCAGCAGCTGCAATCTCACTCTTGAGTGATCATCTGAAAGAAGGAAAGGAGAAGAAGTGACAGTAACGATAAAGAGGAGTTTCTAAGCGGTCTGGTTTTATCTGCTGACTCCTGCAAGTGTGGTGTCAAGGAATTAKAGACTGTCCTGAGCTGGAAGGGACACACAAAGCCCAATTCCTGGCCTCAAAAATCCCACTGTGGTAGTTGAACAATTTAATACTTACAATAATAAAAAATGGAGCAGCATCACATGTATTCCTGTTCCTAAAAGCCCTTTATTTCCTTTTGAAGATGTARCATTTAGATCCTTAAGTTAATCATGCTCCATGTTCATTAAATTCACTGCTGTTACCACAATCCTTAAGGAGATTTGAGATAGGTCACAAATGTTGCCTGGTTTGGGAGTTTTGGGACAGATCTTTGCAGGGTGTATCTCCATGACAAAARCAATTTTCCTGTTCGGAAGTTAAAAATTCCCTTGGCTTTATCTGATCTGTGGAAACTGAGGCAAGAACTAGAACTGACAAGACCAGGACATTAATAAAAGGATCCCAAGAGAAGTATAAAAGATTAGGAGGAATAAGATGGCAATGAAACTGTACAAATACAAAATGGAAAAACCCAGAAACTGGAAGAAAATGCAAATCAAATCAGAGCAACATTCCTTTATACAACCCAGTGAGTTCATGGCAGCAAAATGGCATCAAGGCAGCGATGAGAAAAACCCAACAAAATCAGAAATGTTCATCTGTTTGAGGAGATTCAAAGTTACTTTAGATAAGGCAATAAAACAGYAGAGATCAATCTTTTCCTCTCCCAGCATGCTCCACAGCTCAGACACAGAAAGGAACTACCCCAGCGGGCAGATTATGTCATGATTTTCCACCAGGGGAATATTTTGATCTTTCCCTGGAACAGCTGGTGCTGGGCTCAGTGGCAGGAGATGCTCCAGAGCCCGGCTGCTGATGTGATTTGCTCTGGCAATCCCAGCACTGGGATGCAATTAATTGCAGAGCTGCTTCTAAGGGCCAGTAGCTCGGCGGAGGCCACTGGGTTATGGGGGTCACCGCTGGCCATGCTGTGCTCATTTTTAAATGATTTGTTAAAAGAAGTGTAATATCGAGTCCATTAAGTTTATTTCCTCCCTACCAGCCCTACAGAGCGTAGCTCTCAGTCAGAAGAGCATTAATGTTTAGCAGCACTTTGCAAAACAGGCCTAGGCGTGATTTACATTCAATTAAAAAGAAACACAGCAATGAAACGTAGAAATATGAGGTGTGATTCTGCAGTAACTCAGTCAAAAGGGGGCTAGTCATGTCTTAATTAAATGTAGAATCAGATAATAATTGTGAAGATGGATGTGTGAGCAGTTCTGGAAACCAAGACTTCGATARATATTAAATATTCATTTGGGTTTGTAAAGGAATGATTCTGCTCTGCTCATTCTTCGGGTGAGATTTACACACCTGAAAAAAGCCACAACCACACTGCTGATTTATCAAACCCCGTATTTGCATTCAAAGGAGGTTCTGCAGGTGAATCCATCAAAAGCTCTGTTTTATTTGTATTAATAAATATAACCTTTGTAGACACAGGGAAGGGGGAATATTTCTCCAAGTGCTGATGTTCCCAATTACCTGCGCTCAAGGCAACTGCACCGAGGAGCCGCAGTAAATCAAGTGGGCAGGCAGACAACAAAAGAATTTATACTTAGAGCAATTCACAGAGACTGACAAAGAGCTGATTAAACYGGACATCTGGGTGAAATACAGGGAAACTCCCCGAGACAATTTCACACTCGCAGTTCCAGGCAGCAAACTCAGCTTGTTCTGAGAAAAGGAAAACAAATCCCGGAGCAATGCTTGGGAGGGGAACATTTACTGAGAGCTAACAGGAGAACGACACCGTGGAAATCTCGACTCATTGCAACAACAGAACTGAAAATGGTGAGACCAAAAATGCTCCCAGTGACAGGGGAGGAGGAGTACAGGTTCATTTTTTAATGAACACAGAGGATGTCTGTGCACGGGATGTTGAATAACCGTGAGGAAGAACCTGCCTCTCCTCATTTAGTGGAACCAAATATCAAAATTAAGTTCCAGTACTCTGAGGGACTCTTCAGACAGAAAGTTGCAGCAGGAAGGATGAGCACATTTGGAGGGAGTTGGGTGGGGAAGCCCTGGGAAGCAGCCGGCAGAGCAGGTCCACGATTTCAGACAATTATAGACAATTATGGCTTAAGAAAAGACACTCTGTAGATGTCAAAAAAAACTGTTGTTGGTTTGTCTTCCTCTTTCCCTTTTCTTTTTAAAGCCATATATGTGAAAAAAAACCCCCAAAAAATCATAAAAGATGAAGAAATTTAACCAAAGATTAATGCTGTTTTTCTTTAAAGGGAGAAATTCAGGTCCAATCATGTTTTGGAACCAAATGAAAAATGCTTCAAGCTGAACTTTGCTTTCAGAGGACAGAATTCAAAATATTTCATTGCATATTTTACTAAAATGAGATTAATTCCTGAGGGAGATTTATTGCTCTTACGAGTGAGAACAGTGCAGAAGAAAAAAAAAAAAACCCTCTGTATATGCGAAGCACACAAAATATTAATGATGTCTTAATGGTATCTTTAACCTTGCTCAAAAGTTTAGGAGYACAGTCTGGATAGAAGTTCATAAAATAAGTTCCCTTGTAAATCTCTTATTTTCCACAAAAAAAACTTCGGGATTTGACTTTAGAAAAAAAAAAAGCAAATTTTTATGCTCTTAGTAGTAAGAATC